ACTTGGGATCAGATCTGCTCCATCGCAACAATAGGCATTACTTATGGTTATTTATCACCTCAATTCTATTACATTTCTGTTCTGTTTCTTTACGAGCGATTACAGAGCCAAGGGCACAAGGCAATACATAATTTAATTTTATTGGGAGTATAAAGAGTTGCCATGCGCTATGGAAACATTTTTTTTCAAGTGGCATAGAAGCAACATTAACTTTATGAGACTCTTTCATTCTTTATCGAAATACAGAGTTTGTAGTACGGAAGCTTGAGTAAAATTCTAATTACGTATAGATAACTGTTCCGTGGCAGAACAGCGCGAACTTAACAATGTCTTCAAATGCAAATGAACAGGCTACAAAAGCTTATGGGAGGAATGGGTTTTTGAGAAAAGTACTTCATTGCCTACCTAGTTTTAACCCAGGAAACAAGATTAAAGGCCTTTTGTATGCTTTTCTGTCTTTCCGAAGTTCATCAAAATTTTTCTGAATGCTGGACGAGTATACAAATAATTGTGATTTTTGTTAAAGATGTCCGAAAGTTCTGTCCCACCATTTTCAAAAAAATCGTAACTTCTTCCTAACACAATGTTTTTGCAAGAGTAAAACCATATTAATAAGTGCAATTCATGTTATTTCCAAAACTACGTTGGCTGCTATCCACCAAGTCCTGAATGCAGAGATAAAAATGGGGAAAGGAATTCATTTCAATTTCAGAATTTTTAAGCAAGCCCGTTAAAAAATCCAAAAGTGTGCCATAAAATCCAAACCAGCCACTATCCTAGGCTATTTCACCACCTCTTCTGGCTGCGCAAAGTTCGCGTTGATCGAGCTCTTCTTCGGAAAGTTATGATTTTTTGAAAAAATTGTCAAAAAATTAATTTTCTTAAGAAACTGATTTTCTGGCATTTTTTCTTGAAAATCATAACTTCTTTCAAAACAGTTCGATCAGCGCAAATTTTCTTCAGCTGGAAAGAGGGAATCAAAAAACCTAGGATACTGCCTGTTTTGGATTTTATGGCACACTTGGATTTTTTAAGGGACTTGCTTAAAAATTCCGAAATTGAAATGAATTCCTTTCCCCATTTTTATCTCTGCATTCAGAGCTTAATGAATAGCAGCCAACCCAGTTTTGGAAAGTACATGAATTGCACTTTCTAACAGTTTTACTCTTGCGAAAACATTGTGTTAGGAAGAAGTTACGATTTTTTGAAAATGGTGGGACAGAACTTTCGGACCAACCCAAAAGAAATCTAAAGATTCACGCTTGTAAATCTGAAGGCTTGCAGCATACGTTTGTTGGTGCGGGAAAACCTTAGCACTCTTGGCAAAAGCAAGAAGTTTTCGTTTTCTGATTTTCAGATAAGGTGTGTACATTTTATCTTTGAACTTGAATAGTGCACTGTTCTGTTTTTCTTCCTGTAGTTGGATCTCTTTGTTATTTTATCTTCAACTTCGCGTGGATCAAAGTTGGGTTGAGCGTCTGAGAAATACCTTGTAGAACTTGTTATGCTTTAGCGGTACCACGAAACTCGAATAGAATGTAAGAAGTTAAAGTTATCGCCGTTTTGGCCTATTCGGTGTAAAACTTATGTTACAACGTGGCACTTGAAGGGGTTTATTTTTGAGTTTGGAATTTGGAATTTATGTTCTCTGTTAGCGGCACATTATAGCTCAAAGTTCACCATCACATGCATGTTTTCAAATACCATTGCTTACACAGTTCTTTGCACACGTTGTGTTTTTGTTTTTTAAGGTAGATAAAATTTTGAAGTCTGAATAAGTCAAGACCGAGTTGCATTCCACCGATTCTTTGTTAAGAGTTACTGCTACGTTTCTGTAATCTCTAGGTCTATATTCCCGCTTAAAAAAAACTGTTCCATTACTCGAGTGTGTAAATATTCTGACCAGAGCCCGGCACAGATCGTCTGGAAACAGGCTGGACTTCGTTTTTGAAGCAAACAGCAAAGGGGTTATCGGGAAAAAACGAAAAGGAACCGAGCTCCAAGAATAAGCGCCATTTAGTCTAACACAAGCTTTTCCGACAGATCATCACACGATTGACCTGCTACAATACCGCTCATAATTCGTCAAAAAAGTCGCCGGACTGCGGCGGAGTGCGCTAGAGTGCGTCGGAGTGTGGCGAAGTGTGGCGCAGTGCGCCGGAGTGCGGCGGAGTGTGGTGAAGTGCGTCGCACTCCGGCGACTTTTTTGACGAATTATGATCGGTATTGTATATGAAGTGAGTGGAAGGAAATATACATATATTAGGTGTATAATAACATCAAAAAGTGGGCGGGGCTTACAGTTCACAGCTAACAGCGATAAAATCGATATTTTGAGCTTAGAGAACTATCAAACCTCAAAAATCGATAAAATCGACATTCTGGAGGTTGCAAAATCCCGAAAATTGACGAAAATCGATATTTTGGAGGTTGCAAAATCCCGAAAATTGTCAAAAATCGATAAAATCGACATTTTGAAGGTTGCGAAATCCCGAAAATTGACAAAAATCGATATCTCAAAAATCGGCAAAATTGATAAAATCGATATTTTGAAGGTTGCAAAACCCCAAAAATCGGCACAAATCGATAAAATCGATATTCTGGAGGTTTCGAAATTTCGGAAACCGGTAAAATTATTGAAAAACTAAGCGAAAAATTCGAAAAACTCCATAATAAGCTCATTTCCAGTGCTTTTATGCAGCTGAAACTTTTCCAAGCAAGCTCCGCCCACTTTATACCCCACGCCACGATCGAAATTGAAGAAAATAAGAAAAATTAAGAAAAAATAAGCGAAAATCGCGTTTTTCTAGCCCGATTTACCCCCTTTTTTAGCCGTTTTCAGCCCCTAACCAGGTCCAGATGGCCGCGGGAAAACTGTACACGAAGCGGTAATAAAGAGAGGGGGAAAAATAAGGGGGGAGAGAGAAAGGGGGGGAGAAAGAGGAAAAATCGCGTGTCTAAGTTTTTCTTTTTTTTTAGTCTAAGTTTTTTTTTAAAGTCCGGGAAGGTTTATAGATAGGCTCCCACAGCCGGAGCCCCTACATTTTCTCCGAATTATATGTGGTGTTCCCCTCGAATACAAACTGAAGAATGGCTATCCCAGCTCGTCATCCCTACTCTCCGCGGAGATAAAATTCAAAATATGCACTATCGCCTTCATATAGCGCCTCTTACGCTGGAGCTGTGAGCACGAGCTACCCCTAGAAAAATAGAGCTACCAAAACTACATGTCAATGGCCACATGAGATTACCCCAGCCCTGCAACTCTTAGAGATATAAGGCGCCGAAATCGCCCTTATTGACAGATTTCCCAAGTTCGGCTGTCAATAAGGCACTTTTAATGGAAATTTGTTATTCTACGACCTTCTCTCTAAAAATCATATTTTCAGAGATCTGTCGAATAAAACAAACCCCAGCCCCGTAGCTGTAATATTCGCAGAGTTATTAGCCCCCCAACATGCATGCTCAGGCCGTAAAATCGGCTCTCCCAAAGTTGCTCCGTAATTCCCCCAAAAATCATGTTAGACACCTCTCTTATACCTATACACACCATATTTTTTCCAGCTTCTTAGAAGCAATACACACTGATATAGCGCGCTCTTGGCCTCTCGCTCCTCACTCTTGGCCTCGGCGTAAGATTTGGTTAAAATATTGAAGTTCTCGGATTGACTGTAAACTTCACTCATAGTGGTTTTTGGTCCCGATCTTTACGAAAATCCTATTTATTTTGCACTAGAGAGTCTTACAGTAAAGCTAAAGTGAGATAGAAGTAGCTGGACCAACCAAGATCGCAACTTCGCCTGCACTTTTCCCCTACCTGTTGCGGAAATTGTCTGCAAATTTTTGTGAGTTGAAAACTTTGTGAACACCTCTATCGGACCATGCTTAGCACAGATCTTTATTTGAATTGTTCGTCAGATTATGATGTTACAAAATCGCCTTCTCATCAATTGTCTTTCAAATTCGAAGGTCGTGTAATTTGGCAGATATTCTATCCTACAATGTGCCACCAGCAGCAAAACAATATAAGAAATGTTGTTAGCACGTCGAGTACAATACCGCTTACAGAATGTGCAAAATTTCCCTGAATATCGCATAATTCCGAAAATTCCATAACAGACTGCTCTACATACAATACCGCTCATAATTCGTCAAAAAAGTCGCCGGACTGCGGCGGAGTGCGCTAGAGTGCGTCGGAGTGTGGCGAAGTGTGGCGCAGTGCGCCGGAGTGCGGCGGAGTGTGGTAAAGTGTGGCGCAGTGCGCCGGAGTGCGGCGGAGTGTGGTGAAGTGCGCCGCACTCCGCCACACTCCGCCGCACTCCGGCGACTTTTTTGACGAATTATGATCGGTATTGTATATCGTGCATGGCGAAAAGTGCGCGCGATTTGAAAGCAAGGCTTAAATAAACAAATTGCTGGTTTGCAGCGCACGCAGACTCATGTGATACCAAAATTGAACTGTATGTATAGAAAATTATTTGCGAAAGTATTATGTAAAAAGATTTGAAAACTTATGTGAAGTACCTTTTCCAAAATTAGATCGTCTACAGACGGTCACCAGACGATCTGGGATCGTCTGCAGCATATATTTTCGTCACTTCACATAAGTTTCGGATCTTTTTAGCATGCACGGACTCCCCGGTCAAAAATCTATCATTGAGCATGAATTCATTTTCATATCATTGCCTTTCCTCTGTTTTTTCTTCATTTCTTCTCGCTTTGTTAAATATCGCGCTCTAATGCCAAAGTCTTCTGCATGCCTAGTATTCAGCTCCAATTTGGATTTTCACTCTTATCTTATGTCTTTTCTTTCAGACTAGTAAATCTTTCTTGTCATCTTCTCCTAAGCAGGTAGGTCAAAGGGGACTTCGTAAAACTTCCGAAAGTCAGGGGAGACTTCATTTTCAGAAACCCTAGAAGCCGACTCGTGCCGCGCCCTGATTCTGACACCTAATTTGCGTAGTCTGTCGCACCACTTTGACTAACGCTCGATCTTTATTGTATCGAATCACACAAAGGTTCCTATGTAACACGAAAGCTCAAATAAACTGTGATTAACGCGAAGTGCCGTCTGGAAAATTACCGCCAAACTCAGCATTCTCCTGGAATTCAAATAAACAAAATAAAAACTCAAATAGTCATGGGGAGAGGCATCTTCGGTAGAGGTGTCTTGTGAACTGATAGAGCACAACTGGCACACAACGATTTCCTTGTTTTACTTTGATCAAAGATTTTTATCACCTACCGAGTTTCAACTTGGGATACGAACTGAGAAGGTTCTCGCATGCTTTCTTATCCTTACGTAAAGTTTCAAAATCTTTCTGAATACTGAAAAAAGACATTGATAATACGCAGATCTTATTAAATTATATAAGTCGATCACTTTTGCGCCTGCGATCCCTCCTTCCGCATTTCCATTGCTGCATAACTGAGGAGCTAAATAAAAATATCGTTTTGGCGAGTCTAGACGTAGCACATTAATATGCTCTCAGTGCTTGAGTACAAAATATAAATTTACAACGGCGGCTACTTTTTTTGCACATTAGCCATCAATGCTTACTCTTATAACAAAGTTGTAGGCAGGCTTCATTAGCTTCATTGATCTCATGTCCATTGTTCTCCACTTGTCTATGAGAGCTTTATTCGCCTTCAAAGGTTCCGGCTTCGTCTGAAATTACCGGGTTTCAAATTTTGGATGGAATCAGTTTCAAGAAGAAAGTAATTTTAGTCGCAGCACTTTTCCAAGTTCCAGTACGCCTTTCTTAAATTCTTCAAACTCAGCATCATTGAATTCGGTCAAACCTCTGAAAACTTCCGTAGCACCTGAAAAATTATGATTTTTTGGGAAGTTTAAAAGTTCACTGCACTTTACATTTGTATGTTGGAGCAGAGAGTGTCTCCGTGAATGATGACAGTAGGACTAGCGTAGCTGCAAGAATGATGAGCATTTTGAATTATTAGCTATCAGATTCACAGCCTTTGGACGGACCGGAAGCCAGATTGATGACGATGTTGTGAGTCTGTTCCAAAATATGCGATTGTAGTTTTTATATCAACTTGCTAGAAGCCATTGTAGACTGACATCATCAACCATCAAAATCACTTAGGCCATTCCGTTCACAGTCAGCGTTTAAAATAAACAATCGAAGACATTAGACAGTGTTTGAACTGACAAATGTATGAAATACTGATTCCTGATCAGGCGAGCGCAAAAGTCATTAGTAACAATATCTGCGCTATTATAATCAATGATTAAAAACTGGGAAAGCGACGACTGGATTTAATTGAGCACAGATCAACAATCGATAGCTGCGGCTTACCTCTGAGCAAGAACTGCACACTCATTTTCCCACAATTGCATTAACTTGGCCATAAGCCTTACATAAGCTTTTATGCTCTCCAGAATCCTACAAGAGCGAAGGCGTTACAGCTTATACGCGTGGTGCTCGAATAGAAAGCGAGAGATTCCGAGAACAATGTCGTAGGCAATTGCTGAAATGTTCAGTTCTAGCGCTGATTTAACGACAGCGGCCTGGCAAAATGACCGCTCTGGGGTACTCATCGTGGTTCACCTGGATAAGCTAGGTCCAACTGTGCTCGGCAGCTTCAAAAGATATTATTAACCTGCTCTTCCAGACGTGAAAAGTGCTATTTAAGTGGACGGCGTATGCTTGCCCCCTAAAGCTAGATTGGCCCGTGAGTGGAGACACCGTAGCCATCTTGGAGGAAATTGGATTATTTTCTCCAGCAGCCACATTCGCGATCCGTCCATGTAGCACCGTTCACGTCTGGAGAAGCGGGATATTGATATTTTTGAAGCTGCAAAGCACAGTCTTAGACTTGGCTCATTGGAACCGCGAACGTTGAATATCCCAAACTTGTTGTTCTGCCAAGCCGCTGCCTCAAAGAATCGATAGACGTGATGTGTCTTATGACCTTCGGCCCAATTAGATAGCTTTACTGTTTTGCCTCAAACACTTGATGTATATTTGAAAGTATAAAAATCCTGTAATAGTTGCCGTGATATAACCAACTCCTTTTGTCCTGTCTTGTAAGGTTAGGTGTAAAGCTCGTGCTCTAGTAAGAGGTATATTAATAGAGATTTTACCGACTTTTGAACTTTAATTTGAATCTTTCTGAGTCTTGCTCCGATATATCAATGGCTAAATTGCTAAACTGTCAGGTGGTTTCTATCAATGCACATTTTCTTCAAGCGATTCTTCCATATTTCATTTTATATCATACCAGTGCGTCACCTCCGCTTCGCGGAGGTTCGCACTGGCTCGGCTATTCGTATGCCTTATTCATGCTCCCAAAATGATAACTTTGAAACTCAGCGCGCGAAGCTGTACATCATAAATGAATTGTAAACAACTGTTCATTCTTGAAGCATCTCCATGTAATATTGATGTTTTGAGAAAGAAAACTTTTTTGCCAAGAAATAAAGACGAATTCGAAAAGATTATTAAATTTATTTTGGCTTGATAATTGTTTTGAAGATAAATAGTCACCTGGACAACATTTTCGTGCAAAAATTTTTTCAGATTTTGATGTAGATCCCTGCCAAATCGACTCTCTACGCAATCACTACTTTTTGGCGCTGTTTTCGCAGAAAAGCAAACTTTTTGAGCCCTTTTTGAGCTAGAATTCTTGGAGCACAGAGTTACTTGCCAGGCAAATCAGAACTTTGCAAAAAATTGAATTTGTGACCTAGTTTTGCGCGCTAAAAGCCAGGTGGACCCGTTTGAGGCTCAAATTTTGAGGAACCCGCTTGTCGAACCGGCTCGTCCTTGTGCATGGTAGGCCTACATGCTGGTACGGTATGCTATGCAAAATTGTAGCTCGACAGCTTGGCTGCAGCTTCCTCTATGAATTTCGTGACAGACAGACAGACATACACGCACAAAAAGACAGACGCTTAGCGGCTTATTATAAGACATGATTAGTTAGACATTAGACATTAGTTCTATAACTAGAATTTGACAACTCCGTGCATGTTTCTTACGTTGGAACTTGCTGCTTTTTGATTCAAGTTATTGAAAAGGAGCACAAAATGTTAGATTTGTAGACCTCAAAAGAAATGATAGTTGCATATTCCCGATATGTTTGATATTCCTTACTTGATTGTAGCGGCGCTAAAGTGGCACTGTAAGGGAAAGTGCTGTATTACGAAAGAATACAGGGCATGATTTGCATATTAACGCTGCTAGAACATTTACATACAGGATCACTGTGGTGCTCGACATACTCTGCGTTGATTATGCAAGCAGGAACGACGAACTTTTGACGCAAAACAGGCCATTTAGGGTGGCTGCTGAATAACTTGAATATACCGCTCTGCGGCTGACAATCTTTCCAAGCATATCTCAGCACGTCATTCACACCCAAAATGAGCGTTTTCGCCGCAAAATTTTTTCTACAAATGCGGTCCAGCTCTTTAGAATAATTCCAAAAAATCTACAGATTTGTGTAGCAAGGTTTACAGGCGTGCTGATTTCACTACACAACTTTTCACCAGTTTTTTGAGCTCTTTTAGTGGCGTAACCAAACTTCTGACGAACATTGGAAAAACAAATGTTACCTTAAATCTGGAATAACTTACGAAAGAAGTATTACAGTGAAGCGCAAATTTCATATTTAGAATCAGCGACTTCGATTAATCCAGTACATAAGTTTCCAGCTTGGTTCGGTTTTCTTTCTGATGCAAAAATCGCTTTCGGTGGTCTCTCCTTTTCGAAATTCCTGCCGTAATTCTACAGTAACGAAGAAAGAACGGAGATTCGCTTCATACTGTAAATGTAACGAGGGAAGGATACTTAATGACCTTGGCCTTTTGCAATGAGTTGTATACCAGTAGATGCGCCCTGAAACGCTGATTCTAAATCTATGTTCGTTATCTGCTGTGCGACTCGCTGAAAAAGTTATGGACTTTTTTCCGGATTGATTTTGCGAGATTTAGGCAGTGAAAATTGTCAGTATGTAAGTTCTTTAGACTATGATGTATCGGTGACGGTTTTCCTAAGCTTAACGTGAAGCTTTACTTCAATTGTACGCTCTTTTGTAGTGCGTAAGCGAACATTTTAACGATATTGGTGAATTCTGCATCAAAAACAGCGCAAATTTTGGTGACAAAAAATGTTCATAACTTCTTTCGGAGGAGCGCACAGCAGATAATGAAAACAGATTTGGAATCAGCGCTTCAAGGCGCATTTACTGTCATACGCTTCATTTCAAAAGGCCACGGTCACCAAGTATCCTTTCCTTGTAAGTTGAACCTGCTCTGCAGAATGGTACATGAGTGGCGGAAAAAGGCACAATGGGAAGAGAGATAGTAGCGACTGAAAAGTGTGCACTTACTTTGAAACACCCTGTATAATATATATTTTTACGGCCAGAGTCACAATTAACCTGCAATCATATTTAAAAGTATAAAAATTCTGCTACACTTGCCGTGATACAACCCCCTTTTGTTCTGTCTTGTAAAGTTAGTGTGAACTCGTGGCCCCGTAGCAGGTGGCTCAATAGAAATCCGATTTCAAAATCCAATCTAAATTTTCCTGAGTCCCGCTCCGCTATAATCAATCAAATTGCGCTAGTATGAGAGTTTTCGTCAATGCATCTGGCTTAAAGGCACCGCTCACCCAAAATGGAGGTGCCCACTTGCATGCTTTATCTCGCCTGTGCTTGTTGCAGAGGGTTCTCGAAACAGGGATTTTTGGGGGTTTCGCGGATTTTCGACTCTATATTCGGAATCAGGGCTTTCAGAAGGCTTGAAGGCGACAAAAACATAGGATTCGAGATTTTGGGTGGACGGTGCCTTTAAGCGATTTTTGCAACCATCCTTTATTTTCTAGTGTTTTTTTACACAGTGAGAACTTGCTGCTCTCTGATTCAAGTTGTTGGGAAGGAGGAGCACAAATGTTAAAATTGTAGATCTGAAAAGGAATGTTAGTTGCATGTTTCCGATATTAACGTTCAATATTCCTATGTCGATTGTGGCGGCGCTAAAGTGGCATTGGAAGCGGAAAGTGCTGTAATATGAAAAAATACGGGGTGTGATTTGCTAACGCTGCCAGAACATTGAATACAGAATCGCAGTGATGCGCGACATACCCTGCGGTGGCTCTTATCCAAACAAAGGGTGGAGGAAATTCTGCCGCGCTTGGGAAAAACATGTCAAACAAGGTGGCTGTTGAAAATTAGCTTAAACAAACTGGAATCTAACAGCCTTTTCAAAAATACATTTCTCGGCCCATCAAATATACCTAAAATGGGATTTCTCTGGTTTAGAAAAGAATTCTACAGATGCGGTCGGGCCCCTAAAAATAGAGTAGTTCATTTTCAACAGCATTGCTACAAATCATAACTAAGTATTCTTATCCTCACAGTAAGTTCCCTCTTTTTGCCTTTTATAAATATCTACAAGTCCGAAATACGAGTTTTAGAGCAACACAAGGCAAATTTGGCAACGCATTTGGAAATCGATTTTGGTGGGGTAACTAATGTTAAGACATTGCCTAAGCAGCAGCTCAGATAGTTCGCTGCTGAGATATTTATTCCTAGATTGCCCCACTACCCTATGGGCGGACGACTTGTTGGTATATGAATATCATCGCTCTTACATCTGAATTAAGGTATTCTGACATTTCTTTTTTTATATCTTACAAGGGGGGGGGGGGGGACGAGTGGCATAGAGGTATGAGGCGCCGCTATGACCAGATCGGACACAGGTGCGATCCCCGCCCCCTGGGCCAACCAAGCCCTCTACCCTCCGGGGCCGGTAAATTGGTACCAGAGTAATCTGGGAAAATAAAAGCACTGACTTGGAAACGGCTGGCCCCCGCAAGTCACTGCAATAGGCTCGCACGCACACAATTGCCCCTTCGATTATGAAGTTAGTGTGTGCGTTCGGTGCGTGCCCTCAGAAGGTATTGAAGACGCCGAATAC